ATACCTGTCTCGTCTCTGGACCAGCAAGATGGCCTCCATTGCACTGAGCCACCAGCAGCGATAAATAGAGGTAAGTACAGTATTAATTTGTCACAGAAAGTTGTTTTAAGATGTTTTAGGTTAGAAAGTAGCCCTCATCGCGTCATTTACGCTCTTAGTTTATGCAATTTCTTTTAAATGTTCTCCGGAGTTTTCAGAGCAGCGTAGCTCCGCTAACGGGGCCAGGCGGCTCCAGGCTCAGCGGGTGGATGGAGTGTGTTTTCCTCGTTAATTTCGGCAAGTCAGCCTGTCGTTTTCCGCTGCTTGTTATCTGACCGTAGCGGCTTAAAGTGTGATAGGAAGAGTTTAATGTGTTTCTGTATATACTGTATGATACGCGTGTCAAAATATAATATTCCTCTGGAGAGTTTGATACTTCTGAAGATATTAGTATCTTCTAAACCTTGACACAGTGTTCTCTTCCAATACCAGTTACTAGTATTCCCTTCCTCTGATTTTTTTTTTTTTTTTTTGTAGTTTGTAAATTAATATTTGTGTGCGTCTGAAATATATTCTTCCCTTCGATTGGCTTCTTACGTGCAGAGTGAACTTTTTTAAATATTTATTTTTTATCGTTTCATACAGGCAGCTCTTCAGGAGGAGCTCCAGGTTTGGATGCAGCTTCCCAGAATCTCCCATTTACCGTCTCCTCATCTTTTATATACTTAAATTATAGGAATATTTTTTCATGATTCCCCGAACATTGGCTAAATATTTGCTTGTATGTTATTGTAATAAATACATTTTTATGAGTACATTTTGTCCCTGTTTATTTTGAAAATTATGAGTTCAAAGCTCTGACTACATATAGATTGGTACAAATTAAATATGAAATAATTTATTTTAATACTTCTTGCTTATAATCCAGAGCTAAGGAATAATGGAAAGCATCAACTTTAAACCAGAGCAGATTAAAGGTTGGTAAAAAAAAAAAAAAATGGGCGGACTGGCCCTTTAGCCATTTACTGAATGTTAGCTGCATTTAGAAGCCATTAGCTTCATAAACAAAACAAAGTCAGCGTGTAAGACTTTCTGTGTGAAGGTATGATCAAATTAATTGCATGCCGCTATGGAAGAGATTACAAAAACCTGTCAAAAAATGAAAAAAAGGAACTCAAAATTGAGCACTCATACGTTTTTTCCCCATTTTCTTTTTGTGCACTAAATAGGATTTTGGTTAAATAAACTAGTATTTTTGTTTTTTTTTCATTTTTCATTTCAAAAGGAAAAAAAAAAAAAAAACTGCCTGGAAATACACGGACCCAAAAGCAAGAGACTTAAGTCGGGCTGTACACAGATTTTACAAATCATGCCAAAAATACCAAAAACATTTGGTATTTTTCTATAACTAGTTTTCTTAGAGATAAAGTATGACAACCTTGAGTTTCCAGGACAGTTCTGGCCTAAACTGCGTTTAAGAATGATATAATTTTCTTTTAACCCTGGCCTATGTCAGGAAACAAGCCAGTTTAAGATGACTACAAATTGAGCTAGGAAATATCGAGCCTGAATTATGCTAGAAGATTGATGGATATATTTTGATCTGCTGTGAATTAAACAAATCCACAATAAATTAAATCATGCAAACACAATTTTTTTTGCTTTTCAAAATTCTTTAAGTTGTATTTTGGATCACTTGGCTAACTCGGAAAAAAAAAAAAGTGGGTGAAATACATCAGCAAATGCAGAAAATGATTTGGGCATTCAGGCCGAAGACGAAGACAAGTTCATGTAAACTTCTTACTGCCAGCCACCGTCAGTAACTCTTACTTCTCTTCCAGTGCACTTTGTCCATTGCGATTTGGATCGTCTAGAAAAACTTTGTCCTCACCAGGGATGATCACATGCAGCCCTGTTTCTGGTCGTGATCCTGGGTGAAAACAGAGAAGCAAACAACCTCTGGTACTTCACTATGTCTCATCTTGCACTAGTCAACAAGTAGTAGTGAAATACATTCAGTGTAAAGGCAGTGTGGACTTTATTGTAGGTACAGACAGGAGGTTAGTACTAGGTGAGTTAGTCACGACAGAAAAACAAGACTCGGAAGAAAGTAAAAGGCATGAAAAGTTAGCGAAAGCTTTCAGACACAATCAGATCGGCTCCACAAATCAACAGAACGACAGCTTCTATCAACTGATAGATTTATTAAAACTCATAATACAGCATTTGGGACTTTGAACACTTCAGCAGTGTAGAACAAATACACTGAAGGCTGCTTTAAAAAAAAAAAAAAACGAAAAAGGACACGGTCAGATGTGTGACTTGAATGCAACATTAGAGCAGACAGAGAACGATGTTGGTAAAGACAAAGTTTTTTTTTTTTTTTTCACCCTGTCTGTCCAAGAGTTTGACTTGTTAAACCACAGAATACACCTGTCACAAAGTTCAGCACATGATAGGACAGCCATATTCTTAGATCATTTTTTTTTTTCTGGCAGCAAGACAACTAGTATTTACAAAAAAAGGGGACATTATGTGCTCTTTATATGCCAAGTCCACTCTAACAGCATTCTGAAGTTGAAATAGATTAACTCCACCTTTGTTTCTTTTGTTTTGTTCCATTTGTTTTTTGTTTTTCTTTGTTGTTTTTTTGTCCTTCAACGTCATCCAACCACTGAAGGTGAGCATTTACACTACAAATGAGTATTCACTTTACAATTACACTGAATACTTAAATCTATCTTTAAGATTATATCATACAGAGTCTTGGTAGACACTAAAAAGTACAGAATTTCATTGAGTCCACACCACCGCTCCCGTTTGCCCATAACATGATTGTGCAAAATAATTAAAACATTTCAGTAGTAATTGTAAACTCTTGATACAAACCAAATGAAATGGGGAACAATATTCTTCCAGAGATTATTTTGTAAACATTGATATACAATTTTAAATCAACAGATAAGTGGGGGGGAAAAATACTAAAATGTGTACAAAATTATACATACTGTAAAGAAATAATTTTATAAACACTTGCAACATGGACCAATATATATATATATATATATATATATACATATATATATATATATATATATATTCCATACGTCATTCTTTTTACCCACTGTAAGAGGATGCAGAGTTGTACTTTTCATAACGATACTGGAAAAATACTTCTTCATAAAAATAGGTATTAATGTGAGAAAGAATGGGAAGCCTCACAAGCTGGCAACAGTAGGGAGAGTTGATTAGGCATCACCATAGGTGCTAGTTGACTTGATGATCTTGTTCTGACTGGTTTAAGCTATGTTTTTACTTTCATACTCAAAGTTATAAGGGTAATCTCAAACAACTGCATTTACAGACACCATCTATTATCAGCTACACCATCAATGACAAAAGAAAAGTTCAGTTCAAGCTTCACCTTTAGCTGCAAATACAAAATTTCAGTTTTATGGAATCACTGTCTCTAAAGCTCAGAGATTAAATTTCAGGATGTATTTGTGGTAATCAAAGGCAAAGTGTTGCAAAAGTTTTCATACCCCTTAAGCTTTTCCTCTTTTTTTTTCACTTTGCAACCATACATTTTACAATATTTTAACAAAACCTGTTCAGCTGCTTTAAATTAGTCAACCATCGAGATTTTACTTAATTTTGTTTCTTAAATACATTTTCTTTTTAAGATGGTAAAAGCCCAGCAATTAAATGGGCAGCATTATGTATTTTCCAGGCACATAGTGTAATTTTATAGCACAATCAAGGAACCATGTTTCCTTCAGTTGGTATTAAAGTGCTGTATATACCAAACATGATATAAAAAAAAAAAAAAAACTTTGGCACCATGAAATTGGCCTCCGTCTCTTTAAAAAGTTCCCACTCTTCCCAGCACTCCACTTTCAGCAAGTCTTCACAACATTTCTCCATTATGTCAATTTACCGTTCATAGACTGAGAAGTAGTTCGTATGATGCGCTCAGCAGATTAGCAGAGCCACCAGGTGTTTGCTAATGGCTGCCGCCGCTAGTCTGGATGAGCTGAGTGGGGGAAACGCAGGACTGGTGCTTTGTGGGGCAAAAGCTCGACTACAGATTGAATCTCCAAAGAGGAGATTTGGGTAAACTGGCAATGCTTTGTGAGAGCAAGTGCTTAGGCATCCCTGAATGGCTGCTATGGAGATTCATGGATTCTTTAAATATTCATGAAAGAAGCAAAGCAACACTCCATGTATGCTTTTGATGAGGGAATAACATTAGAAATTGATGTAAAGCTCAAAAAAGTTGATTCAACATAAAGCTGCCCATTTAAAGGGAATTTACAACTTGGTGATCCTTCAATGTTCCCATTGCAAAAATAATGCAGATTAACATCTCCTAGACCACTTTTTATGGTCGCTATATCATATTTATTTATTTATGCTGTTCTACTATCAATTGCAAAGTGAAAAAAAAATGCAGAAAAAGTTTGAAAGAGTATTCAAATCGTTGCAAACCAATCCTTAGTCTCAATGCACCTTAAATGCATCCAGACCATTATTCTGTTTTCCAAATGAGATCAAACTGTGCAGGACAGACGTCAGTGCCAGATCTCAGCAGGTCTCATTTCACTGATAATCAAGAAATTCACTGATCCCGAATTTAAGGATACCAATTTAAACTATGGGTCTTAGTGTTATAATGCACCATTCAGTTTAATATCCAGGATGTCCCTGAATACCCTGGTGGAAAGTGTCATAAAAGAAATGATAAGACCGAGTCATTGTTTTATGTTTGCCTACAGATTCAGTTGACAAAGTCTGCTTGTTCCTATAGTAGTTTTTGTTTGTTTTACATATATTTTTTATCCTCCCAAAAGGTTGAAACATTGGTTAAACATTGAATCATGAAAGACTAAATGTAAAATGTTAAGAATCTGAATTTGCACACTGCTTTATTCTGCAGACAGCAGAGGCATTTGTGCCTAACCACGTGTGTGTGTGTGTGTGTGCCTGTTTAGCAATCTGTGCTATGTTTGAGCATGCGTACCCCAAAAACCACATGCCGAAAAAGAACAAATTTATGGTAAATTGAAGACACTCATTCTTGAATTGCATCTGAATATCAGACAGGAAAAAACATAAGTCCCCCACCTGCCCCACTCATAAATCCCCCTCCCCTAAACTACATACCAAAATCCCCATCCTCTCCACTCAGAGTCCACCAGATTTATGGTCAAACAAGGAGAGTGGTCACATTCAAGATAAATTAACAAGAATTATTAGCTAACACTTACTGCATGACATCTACAGAAAGAGAGGAGGCACAAAAAAGGGAAAGGCAACAGGAAAAATGCTGAAAACATCAGACAAGCCGTCGAAAAAAATAAATTAAAGCAATAAATTACCCAAATCAACCAAAAAAATAAATAAATAAATAAAAAAAAAAATCTATTTTTTTTTTTTAATACATCTACGGTAAAAGAGGCAAGCGCACTATACGTTACATTATAGTACAGCCTGGCGGCGCTGTACATTCTCTAGTTCTGATGGGAGATGCAGCTCTTTCGGGGCACCGATCCCATCCTGTAACTGTGGCTGGTCCAGATGGAGTCGTAGTCAGAGTCCTCCGACAGGTCGGAGCTCAGTTCTGGCCGAGACACACTGCTGCGGCGGCCCGGCGAGTCCACGCAGGACTGGTCCATGTCGGCGAGCACGTGGTTGTGCATCAGGTCCGTGCCCTGCCATGCTGGTGGGGCCGGGGTCAGGGCGACGGTGGGACGAGGGGGGAGAAGATGTCGCAAAAAACGTGGAGAGGGAGGAAATGGGGAGTTGGAGGAAGGGGTTGTGGGCGGTGCACGCAATACGCAACAGATGAGAAAATCATAAAAGAAATGATAGATGTGTAAGGAGAGGATGGAAAAAAATCATAAAAGTATGAAATAAAAACAAATATGGAAAAAGGTACTCAAGGTAAATCAGAAAAATGTCGAACAGGAGGAAACGGGAAGGAAAGAGAGAGGAGATATTGTTAGAAGGAACAGTTTGGAATAGCAGCGGTAAGATAGGCACCGAGTAGAAAATACAGGTATGTTTCTACGAGGCATCGACCAGTTGACGCTATCAAAATACGTCGTAGTTTAAAAAAAATAAACAAATAACGGTTTCAAAATGCAAAAAACTTTGAAAACTATGATCGAGAAGCCACAAGAAACATATCTGTTGAGAAGTTTTCAGCCGCCTCACGTATAAAACAGAGCCCGGCTGCTTGTATTACTCCACAAAGATATGAACAGGAAGAAACAAGTTTGACGATTTGTACAGGTAGCGTGTGAAAGCCACAAGATACAGCTGCTGGTAAATGTACTTTCTGGCTTAAACCATGTATGAAAATCCTCACAATTGTATATAAATGTCAGATATTGTAGGTGTGATAATCAGTATATTATCTAGAAAAAGAGAACAGCATTTTTTTTTCCATCAAGTTTGATGAGTTTTTGTAAATTCATGTTTTGTTTTGTTTACTGTTGTTTAAATACTAAGAAAATTGGCAGTTTTTTTTTAAAGGTCATCGAACATCAAACTAACACACAAGTATGAAGCTTTCCTCCTTCCCTAAATTAACCTTTATATTATTTTCATTTGTCTTACTGGAGTTCAGAGTCTGCCTGGTTTTGGCGCTGGTGCAGTACGCCTCAATAACTTTCAGGATCTGGGCGTCTTCTTCCAGAGCGGCTGTACCTGAAAGGGTAAACAAACAATTTAATTAAAATGGATAGCCTTCATGTATAAAGCTAATATTAATACTGTTAGAGTATTAGATATCTAAGGGACCTAGTATTAAGAGTAGAGATCTAATACTACAATGAAATGGTGCTTGAATATTGAACACATACTCTTCCTTAGAGCAAATTCCTCTTCAGACTGTTTCCTCTCAGGTTTGCGTTTGGGAAGGAGTTTCTTCACACTCTTAGGACTTTTACTGAGATCCTGCAAATGGGAAGCCAAACAATTAATTTTTTCTCCAAAATTATAAAGCAAAAGACACAGTGCAATTATCTAAATAAAAAAACAATAAAAACAAGTATAAACAGCCCCTCACCTCTTTGTAGCAGAGTGCAGCGGAAGGCCGTAATGGCGGCGCGGGTCGCAGGCAGCTCAGGCTCCAGGGTTTGGGGGTGTTTGGTGGCTCCAGGGGGCCCCATGTCATTGTGCTGTGGGTCGTCCCATGAGAGGATGGGTGAGGCAGGGTGTGGTAGGTGGGAGCCACAGTCATGGCCCTGCTCTCAGCATGCCGGGACGGGGTGAGAGGATGAGATGGGAGCTAAGGAAAACAAACAAACAAAACCAATCTGTTACAAAATCATTTTGTTCCCATTCTCTGCTCAACGAAACACTTTAAATACTCTATAAACACAATGACCTCTCAATATATATCGGTTATTGAGAAGTCATAACCTCAATAACCGGTTATTGAGAAGTCATAACCTCAATAACCGGTTGAGGTTATTGAGGTTGAGGCCGACTGACAGATCAGTCGGCCTCTGATATGCAGATAATGACTCCTAAAGCTGATTTTATCAGTCGACTTCAACACATTCTGCCAAAAAAGTCGAAACCTATGCATTTTTATAACTTAAAATCAGTTTTTGTTTACTGATGTCATTCTAACGAGAGAAACAAACCACTTGCTAACGCCACGGCAGTCTGTTCACATGACCACTGCACATTATGTAAAGCCAACCGTTCACAACATATTGATTTGTAGGATCACAGTCAGTGTGAAACCAACATACATATAGTCATAGTGTTTAGGCCCCACACTGGGCTCAGATGAATGGAAAGGAAATAGGCTGTGTGTAATGATTAGCTCCTGACCGTGTGGCAGGGGACAGCGAGCGGTTTGTGGCTGGGGGCCGTGGCGGCGCTGTGCTTGATCTGTCTCGTCAGGTGCTCCACCCAGTCCTGAAGGTCCTGCTGGTTTGCACACACCACCTGGAGACGGTCGAACATGGTGCCTGCACGCAAAGGGAGGGCGCCGTTCGAAACACTTTCTGCGTGTTCATGAAGTTTTTGCTGCTTCTCGTGTGCCTTTACCGTTTAGCTCGAAGGCATTTTTATGGGCTTCACAGTCTTCTAGTTTGGTCACAATCATGCCAGTCAAAGGCAGCTTTCCCTGCAAAGACAAACCAATGGGAGAAACAAAAGAAATATAAGCTCTTGACCCTGATGGTTTGCAGGGTTGTATTGTGCTTTTTAAGCACAAATGAACTACAAAAGATACTTTCAGCTCACTATTATATATGATACAACTCATTATTGTTAGTAATGTCTTGTGATGGCATTTTATATACTACAGCAGAAACAAAGTAAACTAAACTATAACATTTTATTTTTTGAAATGTCTCCAATCCACACCCTAAACACCTGACTGGTCCGAGAACGAAACTCCAATTTAATAAAAAAAATAAAAAATAAAAAATCCCACAATTTCAATAATGCTGCATCAATTATAAGCAACCCTTTATTTCAATTATGCAGATCAAAAAGTCATTCATAATATAAGAATAATAAATAAATATTCATTATATTGAAACTTGATCTTGATCTTGGATCGTCATGCTCAAATTAAACGTTGAAACACAATATACAAAGAAAGTTCTAAAAAATATATTTTTTAAAAATGTCTAAGTGTTCTGGCATTCAGCAAATAGGAAATGTTGGTAATTATAACTAACCTAAAGCAAGAAAAGTTTGGTCTGATTTAACTCCATACAGGAAGAAAAAAAAAGTAAAGATTTTTAAAATGTGGGCTTTTATCAGATTGCACTTTATTACAAAACTGTGCAAACTGAATATCAAGCATTTGAAGGACTTTTCTAAACTTTTGGAAACGCTTAAAAATATGAAGGTCAAGTAATTCAAACTTTAATTTAATCCTTAAGAAATACATTTTCATTTAGGCATTCGGACGGACGTTCAGAGGTGGAAATCAAGGGATTTCTGACCTGGAATATGAAACCGCTCATCCTAGGGCTAGCAGACAGCATGAGGAGGACGTGAGGAAACAGCATGAGGTAGCGCTCATTCTTCTCCTGATCAAAATGAAAAAAAGGAGAGAGAGACAGAGAAGTATGGGTGGATGACAACTTCACAGTGGAGCTGAAAACCTGACAAGATACCAGACTTTTATTAAAGTGTCCAATTAAGCAAACAATTATGCAAAGGAAGGTGGACTACCTGAATAAAAACCATGCATGGACTGGAGGAAACAAATCAGCTGTGCAGAAATAACCAGGAGGGGGATCAACTTCTTGATGCCACCTAACAGTGGTCCCTCCATTTTTCTAATCGCCTTTGCCCCTTAGCACAAGGACCTCATCTCAGCAGTCAACCAAGAAACGGTAATCGGAAAAAAATATTACAACAGTCTTTGTGTTTTTCTAAAATAGTTGGTTGAAATAAAAACCGGGAATCCACTATTCAGAGAGAGACTTAGTCTTGTTTTTAAAAGTTAGGGGTGAGCTGATTTAATCAGACAACAACTGCTTCAGGTTGCTTCCAATTACCAGCCTTAACGCTCACCTCTGTGCCGTTTGAATAGTTGGTTTCAGGTTTGAGTTTTGATCAGAAAGTCTCTTTTGTCTCATGCTCAATCAGCTCTGACGCAGCTGATTGAGCTGCAGCTTAATGGGAGATATGGTGACAATCCTAATTTCAGACCAAAGCATCTCGTTGGCCAGAAATCACATTTTTTAGATGCCTCAACTGACCCACATATTTCTACTGCAGCCATTAGTCAGCCGTCATCCACAAAGATAGGCTGCCTCCACACCACACATTCATCACCTTAAACTGCAGTTATGCATAAAACCACAAATAAGACTCATTTCCATTCCTATGTAAAATACCAATTTTCCTAAATAACCATTTGCACATATAAATGTTGCATTTACTTAAATGCGTGTCAATAAAACCATTTCAGTAACTGGGACAAAAATGCAGGACTGAAAAAATAACGGGACAATATTTTACGTTTGTAGGAGGCGAAAAATACATCAGTCAATTATACAACTTAATATATAATTATGTTATATAATTATACTTTTTTATTTTTATTTTGTCAAGTGTAATGTTTGGGGTTTTCACCAGCTGTTCTCCATAGTTATAAAAGTTAACAGCAATAAACAGCAGCACTCTATGGAAAGAATCCGTTTCCCAGGTTAATTTGCGGAAGAAAAAAACCTCGGTAATGCTGCATAAATTTGTCTCGTATGCCCTCCATGCGAGACAAATGGTTCGCTTTAAAATTCACATCATGAATTTATATGAGCTAACACTTTCACAATGACATTTATTTGATTTTGCAGCTCTATTTCCTAATGTTTTCTGCATCACAGATGATGCACGTACCTCAGACATAGGACTCTGGACCAACACCTGGCTCATGTAGATCACCGAGCCCAACGTCTTGATGTCGTCTCCCTCCCACAGCCGGATGGTCTCTGTGAGAATCTGCAGCTCCAGCTCCTTTCGTTTTCGCACCTCCTGGCACTGAGCCTGGCAGGACGGGAACAGAAAACTACCTTAGCATCTGCCTTCAGCTCATTCTGCAGTTAGATGCGACATTCGAGAGGATGAGAAGTGCGCTGGGCTTACTGAAAGGTTCTTGAAAGAGCCCATGCACTTCAGAATATCTGGTCGGTCTGCATGATTCTCCTAAAACACCAGAGAAAATGTGTAGTTATCAAACATTTCAGGTCGTGTCACAACACACTCCAGGCCATAACACACACCTCCATGTGCCTCTCCAGCTCTTTGAGTAAGGTGGGGTATTTGTCGAGCCTCATGAATGGTTTACTGAGGCCAGTGGTCAGGGTGAGGATCCCAGGAGACACTGCACCGCGGCCCTCCATAAAGTCCCGAAGAGTTTCACTAAAGTTGGAGGAGAAACAGAAGGGATTTACTGTAAACTCACAATTCAACGTCAAAGAGCTGCTGATGTCTTTAATATTTTTCAACATTGAGCCAGAATGTTGCCAGACGTTTGAGTTAACATGTCAGTCTATAGTGAGTCAGAGTATTTTGCCAACAATGATCAACCGGAGGCCGAGTCAATGCTGATATCAGTTTTGTTGATTGAGTAAAACAGCTTATGGAGAAGTGGAGGGGAAATATGAAAACAGCTAAAATACCTCCACAAAATGCTATGAGATGATGGCATCAAAATGTTTCAAACTATGCTATTTTTCTATTTCGCTACTGATTATTGTGACACTTAATGTAATTTAAAAAATGACACATTCTACAGATTTTTCATTTACAATATAAGAAACACATTAAAAAATACAAATAAGCAAATAAATCAGTTCATTTTTTTAAATAATAAAAATATTTAATTGCCTAAAATGCAACAACATAGCATTCATATAATAAATCTGAACCGGGTGAAACTTAACCTGTGGCAACTGAGGAGTTTAGGCTAAAAACTATTTACAGAAAAAGGTGTCTTTATCTTAAATGCAAAATGTATATATTTTTTGTACAATTTTGACTTAATTACTGCTTTGAATATATTATTTTATCAGCAAATGGCTTTTTTCGAGTGTTTGCTCCAGTTAACGATTAATCAATTACTAAATTATTTCCATAATTGATTAATCACAATCACTCTGATTAATTGGTTCAGCCCTGCTGCTCAGTAGTTTAAGCTATGTGTGCTGCTTTTAAATATTAACTCTTTCTGACCATTTTTGTTCACTGAAACGTGGTAAACCTGCAGCGTGGAATGTTTTGATTATTAAATGTCCATTTACGGATCTGGTTGTGACTTGGAAGTCAGAATCAGAACCACGACTCAGGTATGCAATCGCCCTCTTGCTGGATAACGAACAGGAAAACAAACCGGATTTGCTAAATCAGGGTAGAAGCACTGTTCCCTTGAAGCAAGAACCCAACTCTCCTGACATGTGTGCCGTTGATTAATCTTTTGTGTGTCTAATAAGCAAGAAAAGAAATTAAGCAAAGAATGGATCAACGATGTAACAACAAGAATCAATTATTCAAAAAGCTGCCATGATCAGCATAAAGCTAAAAGCTTCTTCTCTAACCAAGATCACTTGTGACAGAACAAGTCAGTACATCCAATTAGAAACAAAACAATTTCCCATTCTATTTAGCTAAATACAGCAAGCAGCCAAACAATATTTTCAGACAGCATGCAACACAGAAAGCATGTTACACAACATTGTAACAAATCTCCAGGTAAAGCAGCACATTGGTGAGAACCTACCCATGTTGAGTAAGCACATTGACAGCAGAGGGATGGTTGGAACAGTAACCAACATAGAGCGCCTTCATCTGAGGCATGAGGTTCAGGAAAAAGCTGCCCACCCTTTGCTGGCTCTCTGGAAGCCTAACGAGAAGCAGACCACAGGCAGACCAAATATTATTAGCAGGTAAAATACACATGACTAAATGGAAAAAAAAAAAAAAGTAGAAATACAGAAAAATTGTTAGCAAAAAATGCTTTAAAATTATTCTATAATCAAAAAATGTATACAGTAGGATATTCTATAGTCTACAGTTTAATCTAGTGTTCATGCAGCACATGAATTACAACACTAGATGTCACTCTGTTTATTTCAACGCAACTTGAAGTGTTCAGCGCTGTGAGGGGAAGGGACTGACTTTGTAGACTCCTCCAGTGACTGGACCAGCATCTGCTGGAAGGTGCTGATCTCCTCCAGGTTCCCCAGAATCAGAGCTACGTCGGAGCTGCTCAGCCTGAGAGGAGGAGAGGAGGACATCACGCAACCCACGTCAAACAACGTCGGGGTGGCATTGCACAGATTCACCGAAATTAATCAAGTCGTACTTGTCAATGTTTTGAAGAGGTCGCAGGTAGTTTGTAAGGAGGCTTTGAAGGTCCTTAGAATACTCCGTCTCCGTCTCTAAGATGTTCTGCAACACCTGCAAAAAATCAAAAAAAATATATAGACATCAATGAAAAGTCAGTGTCCTTAAAGCTCAACATTTAGACAGTAAATATTTCAAAGTGAGACTAAAAAGGCATCCTTACCAGGTTGTAGTAAGTCTTGCTTATAACAGAAGTGTCGAAGCCTTTCGGTGGGCTCTTCAGGGTGCCAGACTTTGGGGACACTTGTTTATCTGTTGCCAGAAAGTAAAAGCAATTCATTATAATCACCTGAAGATGGCGGTATTGCATGAAACTGAATAATATATTCGCTGCAATATTTTCACATCCTCAAGCAGCAATCAACAGTCATTCTGTGAATGGTTTGGATCCAACGATGCAGACCAGGCGGTACTGGGTTAACAAGAATAAGTACAAAATCTGAGGGAAAATACCAATTATTTTCCCTTGTTCTCCCAAATAGAGGAAAGGCTTCAATAATCACAAACTGTTTTGAAAAATCTGTCATAAGTGCAGAATATTTTAGGACCATGATTTCACAAGCTTTTACACTGTGGTTTGTCTAATTCAAAAGTGGTCTTAATGTAAAAAATACATCAAATAAAAACAACTTTTTGTGAAATTAAAAAAAAAAAAAAAAATCACAAAAATATTTGATACTATTTTATATTTGGAAAATTGTATTAATTACAATTCACCCTCATTTTCCAGGTTCTCTTTCTTAATTTTTTATTTTCTAAATTCAATATTTTCAGCACCTCGAGTTTAAAATCAAACAAAGCAAAGACGCTGTTTATTTTTGGATTAGTGTTTCAGATTTTGAACCAGAGACGATCGATTAAAATACAGGAAGCATTTCAAAACAGAGTGATTCATATCCCGATCTTGCTGTTTAAAACAAACATGTTTTTTTTTTGTTTGTTTTTTTTTTTTAATAAACCAAGAAAATACAGAATTGAAAGTCATCTTTTTAAAAAAGACAATTGTGGGATCCTTCTGTGTTTAGGATCAACAATGCTTTTCATTTTATTACAAAAACATGCTTAGTTTATCATTGAACTAAAGACATTAAAAATTCCAAACTAAATTTTTATTGCTTTTTTTTTTTAATTGAAACTATTTTTAACTTCCCAGTTTTGTCCCATTATAGAAAGTTTAGCTGCTGTAGTCCATGCATACAAAGTTTCTGTACACTTGCAATAAGCGATCAGTGCATTTGGAATATGACAAACGTCCTATAACCAATTAAAAGAAGCAGGACAAATAATCAACACAGTCTGCATTACAAGACAGGAATTCATAAAAGGTCCCTTTTTGTGACTCAAGTGAAATAAAAACATGTCATGATTTGAGAATCAACAATGAATCCTTTTGTCTTCGTCTCATTTTACTCTGCATCTGCTGATAGTGGTAACACATGGCTTCACACCACAGCAGCTTATGAGTAATTGATGCATCGCTGCATTACTATCAGATTTGGATAACAACAACAACAACAAAGGCTGTTGTGATGTTTGTAACTCTGATAGGGACGTGACGCGGTTTATTCAGAACATTATTCACAAAGGCGTGAATAACAGACAGGAAACTGATTTACATCATAAAGAGACTGACAAAACTGAAGTCAATCTATTCACCCATCGTTGTTCGACTGCTTATCTGGGACCAGGTTGGTTCCAGATTGCAGCGACTTATTTGAAACTTCCTCAACAGGCGCCTGGACAAAGTTTATTCTCTTCTATTTGCACATGGATTGTTTTTTTGTTGTTTTTTTTTTCCACTCACTAAACTCGTGATCCCTTGTGAGGGTTGAATTATACGTCTTGTTCTAGTCCACATATGCTTGCTTCCTGACTTCTTCAGTTACAAGAGGACAGCTTTAACCATGAGCGTTCACACCCAACAATAAAATCCATCATAAATGAACCGATCTCTGTTTATCAAACAAACGCGGAGCTACAGCACATAGTCCACTGCTGCATGAGCAGAACATCAAAAAAGGAAATTAAATCTAATCTGCCCTGTGTGGATTGTGTTTGGAGTACTAGCAAATGCAGATAAGCATATCTCAGACCACTTTTGAAGAAGGCCTAAATGAAAACCCTCCTCATCGCCGTTTCGGTGCAATCACATGGTGCACAGGAGATGATGGAGCCAGGGGCTATAGACTCATTTCTTCTTTTCTGTTAATCATTTACCTTACACATTATAATGCACTCGTATTGTTGCTTTGTATGCAACTTTAATGATTTTATATAATGTTAGAACAGGTCTCTCTTGAAAACGACAATGCAAAATAGTAAAAACATTCAATATCTAAAGAAGCATTATTAGGAATTAATGCAAATTAAAATGTAGCTTGTTTGAACATAGTAAATGACAGAGTCAAACACATGTAAATAAATTACAATTGGCAAATTACATATGTTAGTTTGTGCGTGACATCATTATCAGAGTATTTTTAAGACTTTATTCAAAAAAGATGAAGAAGCTATAGAAAGATGTTGAGAATGTGAATTTCTAAATTTTTCGGAAGTGAACTATGATTTGGTTTCAACCTGTTTGAACGAAATGTTGAACCAGTTCTGCTGGACTTTGTTCTGCAGTAGATCAGCAGCAATGTTCCAGCATTGCAATTGACTCTCCTCCTGGTCCGATGTAAAATTTGTTTCACTCCAAATTAGAAGAAACCTTCAGCAATAGATCCCCGACTGCTAAACCCCAGTTTGCATTTGAACACTGCGTGGCAAAATATGAGCGTTCTGTCAGAATATAATTAAATTAACATCATAACAGGACATCCTAATTCTATTAGGCAGCAGGATCTGCACCTTGCCCATAATTTCCAATCAGGACATAATCATTAGCCCATATCTTTACGTCTGATCTTGTAGCACCTACCAGAGCCTTTGACTTCACGCACATAGTTGCTAGGAAACCACCCAGTCTTGCCGTTGAGTATCCCCTCCCACCAGCCGCCCTCCTCCTGACGGGTCACGCTGATGATGTCACCCTTGGTGAAGGTGAGCTCATCCTCGTTGGTTTGCTGGAAGTTGAAGCGAGCCTTCACCAGCAGCTGCTGTCCGCTGTTTTCCGACATGTCCTGAAGAAGTCCCAAATTAAAAATAAACACAGAGCTCGTGTGTACTTAAATCAAAAAATATGTATTATTTTACTTGTTAAAACAACTGTTTTGTTTAAACTCTGTATTAAGCTGAATATTAAACACCAAGTTATGAATTTTGATTTAAAAAAAAAAAAAAAAAAACTTTCCTTCGTGGTGTGCAAACCTTACCAGACTCCGAAACTGGTTCTGCAGCAACTTGGAGGATCGACCCAGTGAAGCCTGAGAGGACAGCGACTCGAACGACTTGATGCGATGGGCGGAAGAGTGTCGGGCGCACACTGAGTCACTCCCCACGCCGATATCTAGACAAATACGGCAGAGCATAAATAAAACAGAGCCGGTATCTGCAGTCAGCCCCCACGCACTGCTTTGCAGTTCTTTCATAAAAAACTGGCTGCTCTCTCCTCATGTGACTCGCGCGCACACACACACACTCACACACACGCACGCACGGTGCACATGTTTCAACCAACCTGCGGTGACTTTATTCAGGGCCACCAGACTGCTCAGCACCTTGGAGAAGTTCAGGCCCAGCAGAAGGTCACTGGCCTCGAACGGCTGTGGATAAGAGGACAAAACATGAACAAATTTAATTTGCCTTTGTAAAATAAGGCACCTCTGCACTGCAGCTGGAGTTTATTCATCACCTTTCACAGAAACAGAACAGAAACCATGAGTGCTCAAGCAAACCCATGCATTAATCTACAGCAGCTATAAAGAGGCACATTTAGCAGTGTTACTTTTTAACATGAATGAAAAGCATTTCCTGTATACACAAAAGGCTCATGTCATCAATCATGGCTGTATTCAAATACATTGTGGTTTAATATGTACAGGCTCATGTCAGATATCGCAACACAAACCTCGTAATGACACATTTTTTTTAAATGGAAACTGAAAGCAAGTCAGTTTCTAAACTTAAAGTGACCTTAAAGTTTACCTTACTCTTTACTATGAACTTTAGCAAAAAAATATAAAAAACGGTTATTTTCATAACTTGTTTATAATTTACAAATAAACACTTAAAAATGTTTATTTGGAATGAAAGCAAGTTTTCATCCCATTTCTCCTCATATTTTGTCACGATACAAACTCAAACATGAATATATTTCATTATGTTTCTATGTGACACTTCAACAAAAAAAAATAGAGCATAACTATGAAGCGGAAGGAAAATTATACAAAGTTTTCATATTTCCATATCATTTCTTCTCTGCCTCCCTGAGCTCTAACTCTTATACAACTCTCAACTTTACAGAACAGCTCAATCTGAACGGATGGAGACCACTGGTGAAGAGTCTTGATACAGCTTCTAAATTGGATTTAGGTCTGGACTTCGAGTCGATCTTTCCAACACATTGAAATATATATATTTTTTTTTTTTCAGATTGTCCTGCTTGAAGGTGATGAAGTCTTTGGCTGCTTCTAGCAGGTTTTCATCCTGAATTGCCTTATTTTTAGCTTCATACAATGAATCCTATTAACTCTGACTAGCTTTCATGTCTCCCTTGAAGAAAAACATCCCCCACATCCTGATGCTGCCAGAAAAATGTGTTGTTTCCAGTGTGATGTACCGTGATAAAAAAAAGGCTTGACATAAGAAACTGGAGAAAACAAAAACAGGCAAGAAACACCGCAGAGGTCAGATTTACAGTGACGAGGATCTAAGCCATAAACCAACCCAGTGTACCAACTAAATAGTCTGCTGAAAGGTGAATAACATGAAAGGGTTTCCACTGCAAACATTACCTTCCTACCACAATTGTTGAAAACAAAAGGTTCATAACAGATGTTTCTCTTTTCACTTTTTTTTTCTTTTTTTTTGCTTAGGATCATTGTTCTTCATTGCTAGCAGAACTCTGGAGAACTGGACTGCACTGAGGAGGTGATTCAGCCATTTGATCAAAGGGTGTGGTTGTTATTTATATTTCTTAAAGAGAAAGTAGAATGGGCTCAAATTGGAGCTTTATATCCAAGAGTTGCAGGACACCAGCCCTTGAGGACTGGGATTGCCCAACCCTGCTCTGTGCCATTTGTTTTATTGAAAAATAAAACTAGTTAAAATTAAAACCAGCAGGCCGTACCTCAACCAAAACCAGAAACGGGTCAGGAACCACATGCTTGATGCACTCGTATAAATAGCATAAACGACAAAAAAAGACAATTATAAGGAGAATCACGGTCCTCAGACAGAGAAAAAACATTACCAAGACAAGAACTGAAACTCACGTTTAGGTATGATATATCTAGATTAAAACATGAAAAGTGTAGCAAAAAGAAAAAAGACAGTAGTACTAAATGTGGAAATGTAACTAATATTTGCATGATATTCATCACGATTTTGTTCTTTCCTCCCAGTAAGGATGAATGGAGGTGATTGCATCTATGGTTGAGTGCATCTCTCTTCCTCTGTAACAATGTCATGTGATGAGTCGCTCTCACTTCACTGACCAAAAGAGAGTTGCGAGTCTCATTCATCTTACACTCAGACATTCTGAGGGGAATGCATCAGTGACTGTGTTTTAGTGGGAGTGTGTCGAGCATACGCAAGTGATGTATATATGTTTGTTCAAGAGCTGGATGACTTTTAGCCTTTATCTGAGTAAGAGAAGCCAAACCTAGGGATAGTGAGGCTCCCATTTTCAAGATGTTTTCAAAAAGCAGGCTCTTTTAATACAAATAAGACGGAGTATCAGTTCAAACTCCTTTTTAGAGATGCATCTAGAAATAAGATGGTGACAGAAATCACTAGATTTCCCCCCAGAAAAGCCCTGATTAGTGATTTTTTTTAGCCAGAAATTTTAAAAATGCATTTATTTGGGGGGTGGGGGGATGTCAATTTAGTGAATGCAACATATAAAACATGTCAATTTATTTCAGAGCTTTTAATTTCATAAAAACTTATACTATAATAGCAGGGAAGTGGTGTTAATGTAATTTACCAGGTTTGAAGGTGTTTCATGTTTTCAAAGAGTTTCAAACATTTTTGCTTAAAAAAAAAAAAAAAAAAAAAACAGGCCTGCTAGGCTGTTCCACAGATCAAAATCTTAAAAAAAAAAAAAAAAAAAAAAAAAGAAAAAAACCGCCGGGGGGGCTTCAAAAGTATCCACAGA